CCGCGCGGATTACTCGCCTTGCCGAGCTAATACCATGAGCCGGGTCTACAACGACAGGATGTTCAGTAGGCCCCGCCCCGCCCCGCGTCTGGCGCCTCCCCCGGCGGGCCCCCAACCCGCTTTCCAATAAGACGGTAGCCTACTCCCGGCCACGTCTCTGCATTAACCCACGGCTCCGCCCACCTCTCAAGGCCACGCCTCCTCATGGCCCCTGGGGCCTGCCACGAGGGCTCCCAGCGGAAACGCGTCCTTCCCGCGCGATCACCCTTTTCCGACCCTTTTCCTCTCCCCTAGTCGGAGACAGGCGATACTGTGAAGCGGGCTTCAGCTCCGTGATCACCCAGGCAAGTGGGGAGTCAGAAGGCTTGGGGCAGGTCCCGGCCCAACAGCACTCTCACTCCGGCCTCCCTTCCAGGCTGGCGAGCTGGTGCTGGGGGCCCCTGGCGGCTACTTCTTCCTAGGTAAGTGCCACTCCCTCGCGCCCTCCCTGCAGTCCAGCCCAGCGCGGCCCACACCACCCGTCTCCCGCCCAGGTCTCCTGGCCCGGGCACCGATTGCCAGCATCCTCTCCAGCTACCAGCCAGCCACCCTGCTGTGGCACGTGCCCAGCCAGAGCTTCACCTTCGACTCCAGCGACCCCAAGTTCTATGACAGCTACCGGGGTAACGAGCGGCCCGGCCCGGCCTTCTGGGCCATTGCATGCCCTGCAGCCTGAGGCCAGCCACACCAGTGCCTGAGCTCGGCTTCTGCACCCGAGACTAGCACTTAGCCAGGCGGCCTCTGGATGTGCCCTCTGTACCCAGGACCTCCTCCCCACTTCAGCCTCGCTCCCTCTGCTGTGTCCACAGGGTACTCGGTGGCCATTGGCGAGTTCAATGGGGACCTGAGAACTCCAGGCAAGAGAGCCCCTCGGCCCGCGTGGATAGAGGACGGGAGGGCCCCACCTGGAGACCCTGGGGTGGCGGGCAGGCCCATCTTCCGTCCTGACCCGCACTCTCCCCAGAGTATGTCGTCGGTGCCCCTACTTGGAGCTGGACCCTGGGAGCGGTGAGTACCCTGGGCATTCCGAATCCTGGACCCACCCCGCCTAACCCCACACCGCACCCTCCTGCCTTCTGACCAGAGCTGTGCCCTCCACGCAGGTGGAGATCCTGGACTCTCACCACCTGACGCTGCACCGGCTGCACGGGGAGCAGGTGCCCCCGCCTCCTGGCCCTGGAGGACCCCCAGAAGGGAGGGCCAAGGCCAGGACAGCCAATTCAAGCGCCCCTTTTCTGCAGATGGCTTCGTACTTCGGGCACTCTGTGGCTGTCACCGATGTCAATGGGGACAGGTGATGAGGGCACCAACCCTGCTTAGTAGGGTCCCCTCTTTTCCGGCCCACACTGATGCGGCCCCTCTTGCTGTCTCCTGCAGCAGGCACGACCTGCTGGTGGGCGCCCCTCTGTTCATGGACAGCCGGGCCGATCTCAAACTGGCCGAGGTGGGGCGCGTGTACCTGTTCCTGCAGCCCCCGGCCCCCCATGCACTGGGCACCCCCAGCCTCCTGCTGACCGGCACTCAGCTCTATGGGCGGTTTGGCTCGGCCATCGCACCCCTGGGTGACCTCAACCGGGATGGCTACAATGGTGAGGACAGGAGGGCTGATAGCCATGCGGAAAGGCAGGCACCCTGGGGCAGCAGGGTCAGGAAGGACTGCAGCGGGGCAGAGGGCAGTCGAAGGGGACCGGTGGGTGTGGCCGCCTTCAAAGGCCCAGGCGAGGTGAACTGCTAAGTGCAGATCTCAGCAGTGGCGGAGAGTGCTGGAGCTCCGTGGATATTTCAGACCTGAGTCCAAGGGAGGACGCAGCCACACCACAGGGGGCTTTGTGACGGGGTGCACCGGAGCCCCTGGGATGAGAAGAGGCCGGGGTAGAGCACGGGGACACGGAGGAGGTGAACCTGGGACTGATGCCGGAGCTGAGGGCAGGAGCGCTGGGCGTCCCAGTGCCACAGAGGTGGAGCTCTGAGCGGCAGGAAGCGGGCGTGGAGCCCACACTGCTGCAGGACAGGAGTGGCGGGAGGAGGGGAGGCACTGCGGGGAGGAGAGGTCGCTGGTGCAGGGGAAGGACCGGAAGTGGCACAGTGGACAGCTTCCAGACAGCGGGGAGCGGTGAGGATGGGGAGCCCACCTCCTTTAGAAGAAGGTGGCGCGGCAGATGTGCAGGGTGTCAGGAGGTCTGTGTGTGTCCGGGGTGTGGATCTGGCGCGAAGGCAGGGGTTCTTCAGGACAGCAGCTGCTGCTTCTCTGCAAGGGATAGGGCCCAGCAGAGGGAGAAAGTGACCAGTAGGTGGGAATGGAACTTGGTTTCCCAGTCCCAGGGAGGCCTGAAGGTCAGGAGGAAGGGACAGCCAGGGGCTGGGGGCACGCTGAGGTCCATTGAGTCCTGTGTAACATGATCAGAAAACCAAGCCAGACCTGGTGGCGCACATCTGTGATCCCAGCACTCTGGAGGCTGAGGCAGGAGGATCACTCAGAGTAGCAGGCCAGTCTGGGCTACATAGTGAATCCAAGGTCAGCTTGAACCACAAAGTAAGACCTTGTCTAAAACAAAAAAAAAAAAGGAAAATCAAGAAAAATTAAATATATAAAAGGAAAAAAGCTGCATCGAAAACATAAATAAACCATAAAGAAATCAAAGACAAAAGAAAGACAGTGGCAATATAGATATCAAAACTCTGCCCGAGCTGGGTGGGTGCTGCATGCCCGTAGTGCCGTGGTGGCTGAGGTAGCAGGACTTCGAGTTAAAGCAACTTGGTGAGATCCAGTTTCAAAATTAAAAATAAAACAAAACAAAAAACAAGGACTGCAGACACAGCGCAATGGTGGGGAACATGCCTAGTGTGCACATGGGCACAGGGGTGGAGAGAGGAGCTTAACTCCCAATGCAGGCACAGAACTGATTTGTTGGTTAGTTTGGATTCAGACCCAGCAGTGTTCTACTACTGAGCTAAGTCCCCAGCGTTTTGTGGTTTTTTGTTTTTGTTCTTTAGTTTTGTTAGGTTGGTTTTTTGGGTTTTGATTTTTTGAGACAGGATCTCCTTATGTAGTCCAGGCTGGCCTGGAACTCACGGCGATCTCCTGCCTCAGCCTCCCAAGTGCTGGCATGACAGGCGTGCACCACCCTTGGCTTGACTTTAAGAATTATTGGAGCTGGTGAGCTGGGTTGGCGTGGTATCAGGAGAATGGAGCTGGGTCCTCTGGGAAGAGGGCCCAGAGTTTCCTGGGTCTCAGTCAACCTCTGGGATTCAGTTTTTGCACCAAAATGAGAATAACAATGCCTGCCTTTCAGGGTTGGGTTAAATCTTCTCAAGTGTATTTTCTGCAGTTGACAGTGAGGCTGTTACCGTTTTTCTAATGACCCCGTTGTCTGGAGTCTCTCCTGCTGGACTGAGCTCCCAGAGGCCAGCACCACCCCTGGCCCAGACCCAGACCTCCTGGCCCCCAGGTTCTGCCCAGAGAAGAGGCGCAGTTTTCCCAGTGCCCTGGAGAATCCAGGTAGCGAGCAGCACCCCTGTCACTCCCCGCAGATGTGGCGGTGGCCGCCCCCTACGGGGGTCCTAGTGGTCGGGGCCAGGTGCTGGTGTTCCTGGGCCAGAGCGAGGGGCTGAGTGTGCAGCCCTCCCAGGTCCTGGACAGCCCCTTCCCTGCTGGCTCTGGCTTCGGCTTCTCCCTGCGAGGGGCCACAGACATCGATGACGATGGATACCCAGGTGACCCTCAAGGGCCTGGAGGTGCTGGGGGGCCCAGGGGCCATGCCTGGCCTGGTGCCTGGGGTGGGCTCCCTTTGATGCAGAGGTGGAGTGCCAGGGGCTCTGGGGAGGAGTGCGCTGTCCCCACCTGCTAATCCCCATTGCAGACCTGGTGGTGGGAGCCTACGGGGCCGGCAAGGTGGCAGTGTACAGGTGAGCGCCAGTTCTGGGCTGGGGGAGGCTGGGCCTGGAGGGTCCTGGTGGCAGCTGTTGCCCCCCTCAGAGCCCAGCCGGTGGTGGTGGCCACCGTCCAGTTGCTGGTGAAGGACACACTGAACCCCGCAGAGAAGAGGTGCATCCTGCCCCAGACCAGGACGCCAGTGAGCTGGTGAGCAGCGGTGGGCACAGCCTGGGTAAGGGGGTGGCGCTCAGAGGCCCGGCTCTAAGCCCAGCCCTTTTGCAGCTTCAGCATCCAGATGTGTGTGGGAGCTGCTGGGCACAGCATTCCACAGAAGCTGCGTGAGTGTCTGGGGAGGGGCTGAGGGGGCAGCTGGGGGCCCTGCGCTGAGCTCCCTGCGCCCACAGGGGTGAGCGCCGAGCTGCAGCTGGACCGGCAGAAACCCCGCCAGGGCCGCCGGGCACTGCTCCTGGATTCGCAGCAGGCGGGCACAACACTGAGCCTGGACCTGGGCGGGAGCCACAGCCCCACCTGCCACACATCCACCGCCTTCCTGCGAGTAGGTTGGGGCAGGGCGGTAGCCAGTGCCACGGGCCCTGGTGCGTGTGGCCAAGGCGTGTACTCTCCCTCCTAGCACGAGTCTGACTTCCGGGACAAGCTGAGCCCCATCCTGCTCAGCCTCAACGTATCGCTGCCACCATCGGAGGCTGGTGCGGGTCCCGGCCTGGTGCTGGCCGGGGACACGCATGTCCAGGAGCAGGTGGGCAGGCAGCGAGGAGCACCCCGACACCTCATGTCATCTCTAAGTCCTAAGGAACCCCTACTCTCAGTGTCCCTGATGCTGATGCAAACTCATAATCCCTATAGCGCCCCAACACCCTGCCATCTAGCCGGGTGTACCCTGTCATCTCAGCACTTGGGAGGCTGAGACAGGAGGAGCACCACAAGTTTGTAGCCTGGGCTACATAAGGAGACCCTGTCTCAGAAACAAACAAACCTGACATGGTCCCAGCCTTCACTTCAAGCCCAAAGCCCTGACGGCCTTAGGCCAGTGCTGTGAACCTCTTAGGGCCTCAGGGATAAATGCCCTGCTGCGGCCAGAGGACACAGGTCCCAGCCTGCCCCGGACCACACTCCTCCGCTTCCCCGAGTGCTGACTGGCACCCACCTCTGTGTCCCCTCCAGACCCGCATCATCCTGGACTGTGGGGAGGACGACGTGTGTGTGCCCCAGCTGAAGCTCAACGCCACTGTGTGAGGCCCGCTGCCTGCCCAGCCCCAGGTACCAGCGTGCCTGGTCCCTGCTCCTGCCGACCTGCTTCCCTCCCCAGGACGGGCAGCCCGCTCCTCATCGGGGCCGAGAACCTGCTGGAGCTCCACGCATCCGTGGCCAACGAAGGCGAGGGGGCCTATGAGGCGGAGCTGGCTGTGCAGCTGCCCCCGGGCGCCCACTACATGCGTGCACTGAGCGACTTGCCGGTGAGGAGCCAGTGGCTGGGGACCCCTGCCCCGCCTCGCAGGAGCAGAAGTGAGCACTTTAGAAAAGCTCTGGGGAAGCTCAGAGACTGGGCTCACATTAGCTCCCTGGGAAGGTGCCGCTGAGCTCCTGTCAGTGCCCGACAGGAACGCACATTCGCAGCTGTGGAACTGTTCCTGGTTTCCTGCTGTGGCACACTCTACACACTGTCCTGTGTTTTCATTTCCAAAATGAAAATTAACTTACACGGGCATGGAGGCACAGGCCTGTAGTCCCAGCTACTCAGGAGGCTGAGGCAGGGCCATCTGAGCCCGGGAGTTCAAGGCGCGCCCTGAGGCCCTGTGCCCGGCAGCCCCCTTCCTGCCCCTGTGCGCCGTCCTCTCAGACTTGTCAGGCACCCTGTGACCCACCTTGCCCCGCTGCTCCCGAAGGGCTTTGAGAGGCTCATCTGCAACCAGAAGAAGGAGAACGGGAGCAGGCTGGTGCTGTGCGAGCTGGGCAACCCTCTGGGGAAGGGCGCCCAGGTGAGGCCTCGGCAGTCTGGCGGCAGCCACGGGAGGCTGGGCAGAGTGGGCAGCGGGAACCCGGCCTGCTTGCTGGGAGACGCCCTGTCCCTATGGGCTGGGCTGGGAAGCCAGGGGTAAAGCTGCACACCTGCCACCCCACACTTGGGGAGGCTGAGGCAGAAGGGTCACAGTTGGAGCCCAACTTGGGCAATTTAGTGACTTAGTGAGACCCTGTCAAGTTTTTTTTTCTTTTTTTTGGTACCAGGGGTTGAACTTGGGTCTTTGCGCTTGCAAGGCAGGCCACCAAACCGCTGAGCTAAATCCCCAGCCCCTGTTTTAAGTTTTAAAAAGGAGGCTGGGGTGCAGTTCAGGACAGAGGCCCAGGGGTTCAGGCCCCAGTGCTGCAGGGGGAGAGGGGAGGGCCAGGAGAGTCCCATCAAAATCATCACTGCACTGGAGGGGAGCACTGAGGCCACGAGTGGGCAGTGAGCTTGGCCCTCCTCCAGATAGGGGTCACCGTGTGGGTGAGTGTGGGGGACCTGGAGCAGGCCGGCCAGCATGTGTCCTTCCAGCTGCAGGTCAGGAGGTACTGCCCAGGACACTCCCTCCACCAGCCCACAGAGCTTGCAGGGAGCTCTTCCTGCCTCCCTGTCCCCCTCGGAGCCCCTGTGCCTGTCTGACTGGCCCAGGCTCCGAGCCCTGACCTGGTGCCTGGCCGAGGCCTCCCTCCCTCCCTCTCTCCTCTCCAGCAAGAACAGCCGGAACCCACACAGCCAGGTGGTGCTGCTGCAGGTGCCCGTGCGGGCGGAGGCCAGCGTGGAGCTCCTGGGGTGAGCGAGAGGCCGCAAGCTGAAAGGGGCGGCTCTGGGGGCTGGAGGGCTGGGTGCAGCTCCTTGGAAGGTGGCGCTCAGCACCCGCGGGAAGAGGAGGAGGAGGGGAGAAGGGAGGTTCCTGGGCCACCAGAGTCCAACCCACGGGCTGGGCGTGGCCCCTCCAGGAACTCCTTTCCCGCCTCCCTGGTGGTATCGGCAGAAGGCGACCAGAAGCAGAGTGGCCTGGACAGCGCGGCCCCCAGGGTGGAGCACACCTATGAGGTAGGGAGGCCCTGCATCCGGGGTGAGGGTTCCAGGCTGTGGGAGCCTGGTGCTGAGCCGCCTGCCACCTGGGGTCTCCGTCCAGCTCCACAACAGAGGCCCCGGAACCGTGCGCGGCTTGCGGCTTGGGGTGCACCTGCCGGGGCAGTCCCAGGCCACCGACCCGCTCTACATCTTGGATGTGCAGCCCCAGGGGGGCCTGCAGTGCTCCCCACAGCCCTCGCCCAACCCCCTCAAGGTGAGAACGGCGACGGGGCTCGGGTGGGCACGGGGCAGGCTCAGGGGACCGACTGTCGCACCCGCCTTCAGCTGGAGTGGAGGCTGCCCACCGTCAGCGCGACCCCTGAGCTCCAGGAGCATCACCAGCGGGAGCGCAGGCAGGCCGGGCCCGAGCAGCCGGTGCTGGTGGTGAGAGCGGGCTCAGACGGGCCTCCCTGAGGTGCGGGTGGCACCCTGGTCCCCGAAAGTGAGGCGAGGCCGGCTGCACCCAACAGGGCCCTGCTCCCAGCCTCATCCTTCCGCTCCCTCCGGCCGTCTGGCTGGGTCCCAGGGCTAAGCGGGCGACGGGCAGGGCCGGGGAGGGCTGGGGACTGATGACACGTCTCTTCAGAGCTGCGACTCGGCGCCCTGCACGGTGGTGCAGTGTGAGCTGCAGGAGATGGCGCCCGGGCACCGGGCCATGGTCACCGTGCTGGCCATGCTGTGGCTGCCCGGCCTCAGCCAGGTGGGGGCGGGGCG